AAAGGAGATGCCAGGCTCTTTTAAACAGGCAGCTTTGCATGAATTAATAGAGCAAGAATTGACCCATTACCACAGGGAGACCACCAAGCCCTTCTGGAGGGATCCACTCCTGTGACACCTCCCACCACGCCCCACCTCCAACTTTGAGGATTATATTTTAATGTGAAATGTGGAGGGGTCAAGGTCCAAACCATGTCACTCTGACTGTAAATTGAGCTCAGAACCAAGCACATTCTGTCAGGCCTCTGAGCCCAAGCCAAGCCATCGCATCCCCTGTGACTTGCACGTATATGCCCAGATGGCCTGAAGTAACTGAAGAATCACAAAAGAAGTGAAAATGTCCTGCCCGGCCTTTAACTGATGACATTCCACCACAAAAGAAGTGAAAATGGCTGGTCCTTGCCTTAAGTGATGACATTTCCTTGTGAAAGTCCTTTTCCTGGCTCACCCTGGCTCAAAAAGCTCCCTCACTGAGTACCTTGTGACCCCCACTCCTGCCCACCAGAGAACAACTCCCCTTTGACTGTCATTTTCCTTTACCTACCCAAATCCTATAAAATGGCCCCACCCTTATCTCCCTTCGCTGACTCTCTTTTCGGACTCAGCCTGCCTGCACCCAGGTGATTAAAAAGCTTTATTGCTCACACAAAGCCTGTTTGGTGGTCTCTTCACATGGACACGCATGACACATTCTTTCTTTTATTTGCTTGCCACTGCTTCCATTTTGTTACAAAACAGCCCTTACAGAATATCAAATTGGCCGGGCGTGGTGGCTCATGCCTGTAATCCCAACACTTTGAGAGGCTGAGGTGGGTGGATTGCCTAAGGCCAGGAGTTCGAGACCAGCCTGGCCAACATGGTGAAACCCCATCTCTACTAAAAATACAAAAAATGAGCCGAGTGTGATGGCATGTGCCTGTAGTCCCACCTACTCAGGGGGCTGAGGTAGGAGAAGCACTTGACCCGGGAGGTGGAGGTTGCAGTGAGCCCAGATCGCGCCACTGCACGCCAGCCTGGTGACACAGAGAGAAACTCTGTCTCAAATATATATGATATATATGTTACATACATGATATATGTTACATATATGATATATATTATATATCATATGTGATATGTTATATATGAGATATGTTATATATATGCTATATATCAAACTGTCTTTTTAGAACTCTCAGTCTTTAGTTACAAAAGTGAGACTTCCAAATTTAAAGGTAGATCTTTAAAAAAATCAGATCTGGGAGAGAAGTGGAGAAAACAATTGGGCTAACTCCCAAACATACATCTATTGTTTCTTGTGCTTGTATTATAAAGGCGGGTCAGGTAAAACCAGAGGTGTTGATGTGGCAGGATTGACCACTGAGTTATTTGTGGTGAAGGAAATTGAAGAAATAAGAGGAAAGACAAACCACTGATTTTTCTCTAAAACAAGACTCTCAAAAATGGAAACTCATTTCTTTGAAGAAGCGGCGGGATTTTTTATTCTGCGCAAGCTCTGTGGGTAGCCTGGTTGAAGAGCCGCGCACATTGACTTGAGGGAAGGCTGAGGTGGGCAGATCACCTGAGGTCAGGAGTTTGAGACCAGCCTGGTCAACGTGATGAAATCCTGTTTCTACTAAAAATACAAAAATTAGCCGGGCGTGGCAGCAGGCTCCTGTAATCTTAGCTACTCGGGAGGCTGAGGCAGGGAGAATTGCTTGAATCTGGGAGGCAGAGGTTGCAGTGAGCCAAGATTTCCCTGTTGCACTCCAGCCTAGATGACAAAGTGAGACTGTCTCAAAAAAAAAAAAAAAGAATTGATAGCCAGGCAAGGTGGCTCACGCCTACAATCCCAGCACTTTGGGAGGCCAAGGCAGGAGGATCGCTTAAGCCCAGGAGTTCGACACCAGCCTGGGCAACATGGCAAGAGCTCATCTCTAGTTATTTAAAAAAAAAAAAAAAAAAAAAAAGAGGCTAGGCACAGTGGCTTGTGCCTGTAATCCCAGCACTTTGGGAAGCCAAGGTGGGTGGGAGGTCAGGAGTTCGAGACCAGCCCGTCTCTACTAAAAATAGAAAAATTAGCCAGGCGTGGTGGTAGGTGCCTGCAATCCCAGCTACTTGGGAGCCTGAGGTGGTAGGAGAATCGCTTGAACCCGGGAGGCCGAGGTTGCAGTGAGCCGAGAACGCGCCACTGCTCTCCATCCTGGGCGACAGAGCAAGACTCTGTCTCAAAAATAAATAAATAAATAAATATTAAATTAAATTAAAAGAATAAAAAAAAAGATAATGCCTGTTGACCAGGGCTTCACTGGACTTTTGGCTGAAACAATTACACATGGCCCCCCATGTGGGGTCTCTGCATGGACTAGTTTGGGCTTCTTCATGACACAGCTTCCCAAGAAAACCAGGTGGCAATAACCTTCTTTTATGACCTCATTTTAGAAGCTGCAGAGAATCAACTTCATCCTAGTCAATCCCATGCAAATCTAAGGGGAGAAAACAGAGACTCTAGTTTTTAAGTGTCAAAATTATTGCAAGAAGAGGGTATAGAGTTAGAGATATTGTAGTAGCCAACATTGGAAAAATCTAATATGCCCTTAACAGGAAATGAGAAAACAGCAATCAACTTTGAAAGCTGGAAAAATCAAGAAGAGTAATGATTAATTTTGCAAACCTAAGAAAGATTTTTTTTTTTTTTTTTGAGACAGAGTCTCACTCTGTTGCCCAGACTTGGAGTGCAATGGCACAATCTCGGCTCACTGCAACCTCCACCTCCCAGGTAGAGACGGGGTTTCACCGTGTTAGCCAGGATGGTCTCGGTCTCCTGACCTTGCGATCCACCCGTGTCGGCCTCCCAAAGTGCTGGGATTACAGGCGTGAGCCACCACACCCGGTGTCATTTGCCTTTCAAGTTCTGTGTATCCCATCTTCCATTAATAGCAGAGTTGGCTCTTTTCTATTGTTTTTCTTATTTTTATGCTTTTCTCTTTTTATGTATTTCTTTATGCTTTTATTTCCCCCTAACTGAGCTGGTCACTCACAGGCCATCTTGTAGTTCAGAAACCAGGCTCCATGAGAGAAGAAAGCTGGTCCAGGTCCCTATGTCAAGAAAGTGTGGGAGCCAGAATTGAAACCCAGGCCTGTGGAGGGAAGAGCCTGCAAGGGCCCTTCTCAGATCAGACAACATCTCGGTTCAGAAAGAGCCTAGGAAGTGAAGGGGATGCTTCAGGGGGCTGCTAAAGTTCCCAAAGGCCATGGAAAAGCAAGCTGACTGCTGCCCATTCCCGCTGCCGGGCAGCTCTGCTCTCATGCCTTCTTGTGGCATTGGCAATGAGATATCCAGAACCTCTCCTCACTCAACAGATTCCTGAAAGTGATCACGGTACACTGGACTGTGGGACTGTGCCTTCCAGGATCTCACAGTCTGGTGGGAAATCTTATAGCCCGCTTCAGCTTAGACTGTCATTTTAGGAAGGTAAGTGGCCATAGATGTGCAGGAGCTGCAACTCCAAAGATGTCTACTGATGAACACATGAGCCCTTCGGCATCAGAGCCTGCAGCACTGATGTAGGTCCAGTGTTGGACTTCAGGCTGTGTAGCCAGAGCCTGACAGCCAGGAGCCCCACCCCACCGACCAATCCCTGCATCAGACAAATGGGGAGGAGAGATGGATTACATGCACAATTACATGTCAGTTACATGCTCAATGCCCGAATGTGTCAGCTCTTTCCTAACTTCCCAGGTTGATAAGGTAACCTGGGGATAAAACATGGGAGTATGGTGACTCACGCCTGTAATCCCAGCACTTTGGGAGGTTGAGGCAGGAGGATCACTTGAGTTCGAGATCAGCCTGGCCAATATGGCTAAACCCCGTCTCTACTAAAAATATAAAAATTAGCCTGGTGTGGTGGCACATGCCTGTAATCCCAGCTACTCGGGAGGCTGAGGCAGGATAATCACTTGAAATCGGGAGGCGGAGGTTGCAGTGAGCTGAGATCATGCCACTGCACTCCAGCCTGGGCGACACAGGGAGACTTGTCTCAAAACAATAACAACAACAACAACAACAAAACAGGCTAGGTGCAGTGGCTCACGCCTGTAATCCCAGCACTTTGGGAGGTTGAGGCAGGTGGCTCACCTGAGGTCAAAAGTTTGAGACCAGCCTGGCCAACATGGTGAAACCCTGTCTCTACTAAAAATACAAAAATTAGCCGGGTGTGGTGGCACACGCCCGTAATCCCAGCTACTCGGGAGGCTGAGGCAGGAGAATTGCTTGAACTTGGCAGGCGGAGGTTGCAGTGAGCCGAGATCATGTCATTGCATTCCAATTGCATTCCAGCCTGGGTTACAAGAGCAAGACTTTGCCTCAAAAACAAAACAAAACAAAAAACATGGTAGTGACAAGCATTCCTGTGGACAAGCAGCACTGAGCTTGGCTTCTGGTTTTAGACTGTGTCAGGTCACTTGTCTCCCTAATTTCATCTCTGACTTACACCAGATCCTTATTCAGTAACCCCAAAGGTGTGGTCTCCTGAAAAAATGAAAGGGGTCTTTATTTCCTGGACGACGAGGGAGCACTGTCCACCCTCCCTGTCAGGTGAATCACCTTTGTGCTGGCGTTCTCCCCTTCCTCCATCCCCCTTCTCTCTTTCCGTCTCCCTCTCTCTCAGCATGACTGGACAAACGTTGCACGGGGCAGAAACACTATATGCTAGACCCTGTGAACCCTTAGACAGAAGAAATGTATTTCTTTCTCTCTACTCAGACCCACCCTTAAATTTTACCGTGGAGATTACTGTTAGGCCCCGAAAGGTGAGTGGCAGGGAGGGGACTGTTTCAGAAAACTGCCCAGCGGCAGGGACAGGCTCAACCTCCAGAAAGAACTCCATCTGGCTGGACGCGGGGAAAAGAAGGTTGGTTAAAGCTGCAGAAGCAAGGACGGATCAGGGAGCAGCACAAACGCCAGGCCGGGAGAAGTCACCAGGAGGCAGAGAAGAGGGAGCATTAGCGGGACACAGAAATGGCGAGTAGAAATCATTGCTCTTTACTGATTACAAAATAATACATTTCTACGAAGTTGTCCTCACCTTGCCGTGCCCCTTCTCTCTAGTGGACCTTGTACATTGTAAGTGCTCCATGTTTACACGGTTAATAAATGGAAGGACAGACGAGTTTATAAAGTCAATCCTTTCTTATCCTATCTAAGGAAAACCCCTAGGTCTCATGCACCCCGAGGCCCTTCCGCCCTAACAGCTTCATTTCCCTGAAAAGTACGTCTGGGACCCTTTCTATGACAAAGTTATATAAATCGTGATATTCCTCTTCAGTTTCCCTAACGTGAACTCTCACGATGAGCCCTAGCGTGGTTCATCTGTCTCCCATCGCCCGACACTGACAGGTCATTTCCAGGGGTTTGCTGTGCAGCCCCGAGAGGTGCAGACCCCACAGCCGCCGCTGGGGCGGGGATGCTGGGGCCTCCCGCGCGGGTTGGATTCAGGAGGAAGAGAATGAATCTGCTCCTAGCGCTCAGCGAGACCCTGCGAAGGCTGTGGCTGTGGCTGCCGCCAGGAAAGAGCCCAGGACGCGGGGTGGGGCCAGAGCTGCTGGGGCGGGGACGGAGAGGGTTCGTCCCAGGTCCCCGAGCACCCAGGCGCCTCCCCTGGCTCCCAGCCCCACCTCGGCTGCTGCTCTGCGGCGGGAAGGCGCGGCCCTGGCTCCCGCAGGACCCAGGCCCCGGGCGCGAAGAGCAAGCCCGGTGCCCCGGAACGAACTTGCCCAGCACTGTCAGCTTCCAGGTGCGGCAAGGGCTGGTGGCAAGTGGGACCTGGAAGCAGTGCTGAGCCCGAGGTCAGAGAGCAAGGGACGTCTGCGTAAGGCTGGCCCGGCGCGCTGACTGCCATCTCCTGGTCAGCGGGGGCCACATTGGCGCCCGGGACACCAGCGTGCCCCCAGAGGAGAGTTTGGCCCGAAGCGACCCCCGATTCCCAAGAGAAGCTGCCCACGTTGCTCGGGACCCCTGGGAAGCCCTGCTGGCAGGAGTAGTCAGGGGCCAGCACACCGCACTGACCGGGGCCTAGGATCGGGGTCTGCGCCCAGGCTGCCTCCACGCTGGGCCTCCTCTGGCTTCTCTTCGGTATACGAGCTCTCCGGTTCTGAAACCAAACCTGGGAGGGCACGAAGGAGAGACGGAGATGGGGAGGGAAGGAGAGAGAGGGAAAAAAGGCATTTTCTAATCAAGCCCATTCCCATAATTATCACCAAGTAGCATGTGACTGGGGTTAAACACCTACCAAATAAAACAACCCCTGGAGCCCAGAGCAGGAGCAAACTCCTTGGCCAGGCTGATTCAAACCTCTCCGTGTGGCCCACCTTCCTTCCAGCCAACTCTCCCCAAAGCCCCACCTTGCGGCCGCACGGCTGTCCTGCGCCCCAGCCCTTCTGAGTGTCCTGTGTGCCGACACCTTCCTGGGACCGCTTCTCTACCTGCCAAATGCAGTTTATCCTTTGCTATCCCTGTCCTCTCTCAAAAACACCTCTTCTGTTCTATCAGACAGATTTTGTTTTTGTTTTTAAAGCCGTGAGGATCTTTGCCTTCTTAAAACATTGTTATTCATGGTGTAACTGCCCCCCTTTTAAACATACATTCAGTATTATCAAAGACGTTATTAAAAACGTACCGTGTCCTGCCCAGCCCCGGGAAGAAGGTGAGGGCCTGACTATACAAACTGACACCACGTGGGCCAGGCCACCTGCAACACCAGGACCTGGACCCATGCCTCTGCAGCCTCTCCGCGGAACTGCTCTCCCCTGCTTTTCACTTACACACCCTCTTCGCTTCCTTCCAACCCAGAACCAACGAAGGAAAGCTAGATGTGCTGCCCTACCAATCCCATAGAATGACCCGGACTAGTCGGCCACCTCAGCTCCCCCAGGCCCACAGCCTCCCTCAGAGCCTTCCTGGGACTTCCCTTGTCCCAGGATGAAGCTTCCTGCTCCTAGACCTGCTGGGAATCTCTGCAAACGCCAGCAGTGACTGACTCCCTTGCAGTAGCAAGATCTGAATAAACAGCTTTTGCAGCCCTGCAGGGTGGCTCATGCCTGTAATCCCAGCACTTTGGGAGGCCAAAACGGGTGGGTCGTTTGAGATCAGGAGTTCAAGACCAGCCCCGTCAACACGGGGATAAACTTATGTCTACTGAAAATACAAAAATGAGCTGGGCATGGTGGTGGGTGCCTGTAATCTCAGCTACTCGGGAGACTAAGGCAGGAGAATCAGTTGAGCCTGGGAGGCTGAGGTTGCAGTGAGCCAAGATTGCTCCATTGCACTCCAGCCTGGGCCACAGAGCAAGACACTGTCTCAAAAAACAAAACAAAAACAGCTTTTGCCTGTTCTCATGGGGGCGGTCTCATGTCCACAACAGCAATGCATAAAATAGACACCCCTCTGAGTAAATGCCTCTTGCCACCACAAATATCTTAGTTCAGTTTCTTTTCTTCCTTTCCTTTTTTTTTTTTTCCTGAGACATTGGTTGTCTTACTCTATTGCCCTGGAGTGCAGTGGCCCCATCTCAGCTCACTGCTACCTCGACCTCCGGGATTCAAGAGATTCTCCTGTCTCAGCCTTCCAAGTAGCTGGTATTACAGGTATGTACCACCACGTCTGGCTAATTTTTGTATTTTTAGTAGACATAAGGTTTCACCATGTTGGCCAGGCTGATCTTGAACTCCTGACTTCAGGTGATCTGCCTGCCTGGGCCTCCCAAAGTGCTGGGATTACAGGCGTGAACCACTGCACCCAGCTTTAGTTCAGTTTCAGTCCCTGTGGGTTCCTTCTTTGATTCTATCTCAGGCAAATATATCCTGTGTGCAAAACACACATCTCCTTTTCCCAAACAAAATATCCTGTGTGCAAAACACACGTCTCCTTTCCCAAAACAGTCAGCCCCTTCTCCTCCTGAATTTTGGGGCAGGGCATCAAAATCACTCAAAAAGTTGAATCATGAGTCCTGGGAGGGCTCAGCCAGACCCCCAGGAGCACAAGGGCAGCCTCTTCCCTGTCCCAGCCTCCAGGCAGCTCCAAAGGCCTCAGACTGAGCAGTGCAGTGACAACACAAACAACTCACCTGCTGATTACAAGACAAAGACCCAATTCTCAGCCTGGCATTCCGGTAACCTCTGGACACATCCAGCCCCAGCCAGCCCAGCTGCTGGCTGCTCACCAAACCCAGCCTGCCTTCCTCTCTCAGGGCCTTTGCTTTAGGAACTTTTAAGGATTTGAAAAGAAAGAAAATTTTTTATTTAATTTTTTTCTTTTTCTTTTTCTTTTTTTTTTTTTTTTTTGAGACGGAGTCTTGCTCTTGTTGCCCAGGCTGAAGTGCAGTGGTGTGATCTCCGCTCACCGCAACCTCTGCCTCTGGATTCAAGGGATTCTCCTGCCATAGCCTTCCAAGTAGCTGGGATTACAGGCGCCTGCCACCACGCTCAGCTAATTTTTTTTTTATTTTTTAGTAAAGATGGGGTTTCACCATTTTGGCAGGCTGGTATCAAACTCCTGACCTCAGGTGATCCACCCACTCCCAAAGTGCTGGGATTACAGGCATGAGCCACCATGTCTGGCTATTTAAATTTTTTAAAAGGGCCTCTGCAAGCACAGAGCTGTCTTCCTATGCAGCAAACTCTGCCAGACCCTCGGGGTCAAATTACCTGTGTCTCCCAAGTGCCCCCTGAAGGGACATGCAGTGTCACATCTAAGCTGCAGGATTTTGAGGTTTCCCATTTCAGTTCCAGGAAATACGAGCAAGAGCCAGCCATAACCCCAAACCATTTACTGAACTTTTGAGGCCAGTTCTTTTGTCTGTAAAGTGGTCATGAAATCACACCCACCTAGTAGGGGTGTTTGGGCTTCCAGGACACAAGGAGTGGAAAGTCTGTGGGTGCTGTGATAAAGATCCAGCGGACTGCGGACTCCCTCCCGCACAGTTGCATTTTCCTACGGCCAGCAGATAAGGCTGTCATCCTCTTTGCTTCCAACCCTTAGGGCTAGCTCAACTTTCCTGTCTCCTAGCAAACACTTTGTAAAGTTGGATCAGGAGAGATCCACAGGAAAGAAGCTATGGAAATTACTCTACTACTAATTCCAACATTTAAAAACCCTACCCCGTCCCCACCCTCACCCTGCTCTACCATGTTCTTGATTCTCTGGTCAAACCTTTCCCCTCTAGGTTGTGTTGGTTTAAATATCTCTGGGGTTATATAGATTTTTTAAATAAAATTCTTCACAGAGCACCTTGCACGTAGCAAATCCTCAGTAGATGTTCATTCTTACTTGGTTAGGTCCTGACTTATTGCACCATCTTTATCAAGCACCTCTCAAAGGCAAGAAGGAAGAAAAAAGGGAATAGAAACAATAGCTGCCTGGGAGAAGCTCTCAGATGACTAGGGAGATGGGGGCTGATGGCTGGAGGAGGGGGTGTCACAATAGCAGACAGAGAAGACGGGGTGAGATAGGTCACCCCTTGCCCCTGTGAGGCAGGTGTGGATGATTTAACTCTGCTGCACCTGAGAACCGCCTGGGGGAATCTCAGAACTCCCTGGGCCCAGGGCTTGAGGCCTAGACTAGTAAATTGGACACGCATTGTACAGCTTAGTCCACAGTAAGGCTTTCCAGTTGATGACAACGAGCAGTCACAGCCAAAAGCCCCATGTGTAGGGCCTGAGGTCTGCGTGCTGGAGTCACATGGAGCTGAAACGCTTAGACATGCCTGGGCCAGGCTCCCAAAGATTCTGATTCCAGTGCTTTGGGGCGGGGCACTGATGGAGTCTAGAGTTGAAAAGCTTTGGTCCAGTCCTAGCTACACATCAGAATCACCTGGCGAGCTTCTCAAGTAACCTGTGCGTTCTCAGCCTCCACTCTCAGGGACTCAGAGAGTTCATTTTGGGCAGCCACTGTCAAACTTGGCTGCACGCGTCAATCACCTGGGGGCAGGGAGATGAAAATTCCCAGGCTGCACCAGACTCATCACCTCAGACCTCCTGGGATACAGACTCGGTGCCCTGAATGACTACAATGTGCCTCGAGGCTGAGACCCAGAGGACCAAATCCCATGCGAGCCCTGGGAGCATCAGGGATCCCCCCACTTCCAGGGGTTCCTGTGAGGCTACAACTGTGTCTGTATCACACTCAGTGATTTGCCTCTGCCTTTTCACTCCCTATTCTCTGAGTGGATTTTTCCAGAGGCTGCATGAGGTGGGGCAAGGATGAAATTCGCAACATCTGAGAATTTTCTATTCCCTAGTCTTCTGATGCCATTTCTCTTGCTACATGTTCTGGCCTTGACGATACAGTTGATTTTCTTGAAAAAAATGTTACTTAGGTTATGATGTAATAGGTTTTTTTTTTTTTTTTAGTGTATTAGTGAAAACTTTCCAGTTTTACATTATTTTTGTTTGTTCGCTATTTGCTTTCTTTTCTTTTCTTTTTTTTTTTTTTTTTTGAGACAGGATCTCCCCGTGTCACCTAGGCTGGAGTATAGTACCAAAATCACAGCTCGCTGCAGCCTCAACCTCTTGGGCTCAGGTGATCCTCCCACTTCAGCCTCCTGAGTAGCTGGGACCACAGGTGCATGCCACCACACTCAGCTAACTTTTGGTGTTTTCTTTTTTTTGTAAAGATAAGGTTTCACCATGTGGCCCAAGCTGGTCTCAAACTTTTGGACTCAAGTGATCCATTCACCTTCACCTCCCAAACTGCTGGGATTGCATGCATAAGCCACTGCACCCAGCCCAGTTTGGCAAATTTAATTTGTAATATGGTAACTATTTGACAGCTATAACCCACATAAACCAATTTAGACACCACCCTTTCCAGAGTTGTAACCTAAATTACTAAACCTTGCTTATCTTTATTTTCCCAATCCAGTGAATGCGGATAATACTGACCTCACAGGGATATTGAGAAAATTAACTCAAAAATGGTTTTTAAGCCTGTGGAAAAACAGACGTACAATATATGCTCCCTCTTCCCAGTTAGAGAGACAGAAATAGCTACATTTATACTTTACCTGGATTTGTGGCTCGGGAATCTGTGTTTTTCTGGCCAGTTCTTCTCTGACAGTAATTCCAGGATAGGGGTCTGTTTGGAAGGCCTCTATAAGAATCATGTATTGATATTTGTCAAACTTGGTCCTCCTGCGCCTCCGGCCTCGCTCAGGTTCTGCGACAGCTACACAGCGTGAGGCAAGAGAAGGAACACTCAGAGGACCGCTGGCTGAGCTGTGAGATCCAAGACTTTACCTCCTATCCCAGCTCAGCAGAGGGCCCGCAGCCTCCCCAAAGGAAGGGATCTGCTGCCCTGCACGAAGCTTAGGCCACTTGGTAGGGGCCTCCTCACTCTCCCCTGCCATGTGGGTTGTGTTGTATTCCTCTGAGTGAATTCTATTTTGAGCTGAGTCACAAGTCAATAGTGAGTCCAAATATGATGGACTCGGCATCCACCCCAAAATGCTGCCACTGGGCCCCTCTGCAGAATCCCGTGAAATGGACTCAGGCTGTGCCCAGACTCCCTTCAGCTCCAACTCGGGGGTTCTACCTGCATGTCTTATGGATACCAGAAAAGTCAGAGCACCCAAACAGTTGGAGCACTGAAACAAGGGGGCGGGGCTCAAGCCTGTAATCCCAGCACTTGGGAGGAGACGGGCGGATACGAGGTCAGAGATAAGACATCTGGCAACACGGTGAACCCGTCTCTACTAAAAAAAAAAGTACAAAAAACTAGCCGGGCGAGGTGGCGGGCGCCTGTAGTCCAGCTACTCGGAGGCTGAGGCAGGAGAATGGCGGAACCCGGGAGGCGGAGCTGCAGTGAGCTGAGATCTGGCCACTGCACCCCAGCCTGGGCGACAGAGCGAGACTCCGTCTCAAAAAAAAAAAAAAAAAAACAGTTTGGGAGCATCTGAAACGTAAAATATAGCTACAATGTTCAGACACATGTCCAGACACTGATGTGAGTGAGATGGACTCTTACAGGGCTCCTCCTAACAAGCACTGTTTGCCCATAAGTTACTTTTGTCCTTTGCTAAGACCCAAAATATACAAATATTAAGAGATGCCAGAAAACAAAACATAAGTAAATTTTTGTGTTTAATGGGAGAAAAACCTAAAATCGAGATGTTGTTATGCATTACTTTGTATTTTCCCTTACGACCCGGGAAAGCCCCAGCCCTCAATTTGAGCCTTGGGCCCCCTGAGTCCATCAGACTTGAACTCAGTATTAACTGGTGACTCAGCTCAAAATAGAATTCACTTAGAGGAATGAAACACAACCCAAGCAAAGAAGCTAAGGCTGCCTTCCCCTGAAAGACCTCCCTTTCGTAGCAGAGGAGAAAGTGCCTCTGCCCAAATCCAGAGCTCCCAGGAGTGCCGCCCCGCCCTGCAAAAGGGAAATTTTCCACTTTTCTGCACTTTCCATTTTGAAAAAGAACTGCACCACGCATGGATGTCTTCCACTTTTTGAACTCATCGAAGGTGGCTTTAAGGGTTTGGCTTGATTTCTCAGCCTTTATCTTTTAAGCCTTCTTTTTTTTATTGTTTTTTGTTTGTTTGTTTTTAATCAAGACAGGGTCCCACTTTATCGCCCAGGCTAGAGTGCAGTGGCATGATCACAGGTAATTGCAGCCTTGACCTTCTGGGCTCAAGCGATCCTCCCACCTCAGCCTCCCAAGTAGCTGGGATTAGAGATGCACACCACACCTGGCTAATTAAAAAAAAAAAAAAAATTTTGTAGAGGCTGGGCGCGGTGGCTCATGCCTGTAATCCCAGCACTTTGGGAGGCCGAAGTGGGTGGATCACGAGGTCAGGAGATCGAGACCATCCTGGCTAACACGGTGAAACCCTGTCTCTACTAAACGTACAAAAAATTAGCTGGGCGTGGTGGCGGGCACCTGTAGTCCCAGCTACTTGGGAGGCTGAGGCAGGAGAATGGCGTGAACCCAGGAGGCGGAGCTTGCAGTGAGCTGAGATCATGCCACTGCACTCCAGCCTGGGCAACAGTGCAAGACTCCGTCTCAAACAAACAAACAAACAAAAAAAGCTTTTGTACAGACAACATCTCACTATTTGCCCAGGCTGGTCTTGAGCTCCTGAGCCTTCCCCTTTTTAAGCCTCAGCACTGAATGTCATGTTAGACAGTAAACTTTAAGCTAGCCACATCAGGCAGGACCTGCCACTGACAGTCCACGATACGTCACCAAAAGAGAGGCTTCGAGCCAGTTCCCCAGCTTCTCCCACTTCCAGAAAGGAAGCCCTCCTGACCCTCAGAAAGAACTCACTGTCTGAAGCCATGAGCCGAGCTCGCTGTCCACTGGGAGCGTCAGTGGAAACAGATTACCTCCTGGAAGGCTTGTTAAAATGCTCCAAGGGACCCACCCAGGTAAGCCCCTTGTTATCACATTGCAAGGTCCGCCTCCCTAATACTGTCGTTCTCTGGGAAGGGATGTTCCCAAGAGCGGTCAACGAACACTTTTCTAGCTTCCCTTGAGAGCATAGAGATTTTTCTTCATCTGCTCCCCTGGCCTTGCAGAATTGTTGAGATGAGCATGCCTAAATCAGGGCTTCGAGAAATATTACGTAAGATTACCAAGGATGGCTCAGAGTAGTGTAGAACCAATCTGAACATCATTAGTCATCAGGGAGTGTTGTTTTGAAGGGCATGTCCATACATGAATTAGTTACAGATGGAAAAGGAAACATCTTTGCATCCCAAATGTGTCCCTCCTGTCCTCGTTGGGTGCTGCAGACTCCAAGAGAACATGCCCTGGAGGAGAGTTGAGCTTCAGCGTCACTCGGTTACATGGAACTCTCCACTGCTCCGTTTCCTCATCCCAGTCCTCATTATTACCATGTACCCCACGTGATGTTTTCATCATGAAATGAGCTCTTACAAAGCAGCGACCGTTGTGCCCACCGTTGTGCCTACCTAGCACACAGATGGTGGTGAGTCAAGAATCAGATTCGTGCCATATCAGAGCCTGTTTCTCTTGAATTTGGATGGACTGATCAAGTTCCAGGGTTTCCTAGTAGCATGTAAACTGAAGTAAATAGAACAATGCTGGCCGGGCATGGTGGCTCACACCTCTAATCCCAGCACTTTGGGAGGCCGAGGCAGGCAGATCACTTTAGGTCAGGAGTTTGAGACTAGCCTAGCCAACATGGTAAAACCCCCATCTCTACTAAAAATACAGTAATTGGCCTGGCACCATGGCTCACGCCTGTAATCCCAGCACTTTGGGAGGCCAAAGAGGGTGGATCACCTGAGGTCAGGAGTTCAAGACCAGCCTGGCTGACATGGTGAAACCCAATCTCTACTAAAAATACAAAAATTAGCCAGGTGTAGTGGTGAGCGCCTGTAGTCCCAGCTACTCGGGAGGCTGAGGCAGGAGAATGGCGTGAACCCTGGAGGCAGAGCTTGCAGTGAGCCAAGACCGCGCCACTGTACTCCAACCTGGGCGAAAGTGCAAGACTTTGTCTCAAAATAAATAAATAAATAAATAAATAAATAAATAAATAAATACCAAAAGGAAATCATGTTCTTTGCAGTAACATGGATACAGCTGGACACCATTATCTTAAGCAAATTAATGCAGAAACAAAACCAAATACCTTGTGTTCTCTCTGTTAAGTGGGAGCTAAATATTGGGCTCACATGGACACAAAGATGGGAACAATAAACACTGGGGACTCCAAAAGGTGGGAGGAAAGGGGGCAAAAAATTATCCATCAGGGACTGTTCACACTTGGTTGATGGGATCATTAGAAGCCCAAACCTCGGCTGGGCATGGTTGCTCACACCTGTAATCCCCAGCATGTTTGGAGGCAGAGGCGGGAGGATCACCTGAGGTCAGGAGTTCAAGACCAGCCTGACCAACATGGTGAAACTCTGTCTACTAAAAATGCAAAAATTAGCCGGGTGTGCTGGCGGGTGCCTGTAGTCCCAGCCACTTGGGAGGCTAAGGCAGGAGAGGCGGAGGTTGCTGAGATGGCGCCACTGCACTCAAGCCTGGGAAACAGAGCAAGGCTCCGTCTAAAAATAAAAATAAAAAAAATCACCAATAGGCCAAGCGTGGTGGCTTGTGCCTGTAATCCCAGCACTTGGGAGGCCAAGGTGGGTGAATCACTTGAGGCCAGGAGTTTGAGACCAGCCTAACCAACATGGTGAAACCACCATCTCTACTAAAAATATGAAAATTAGCTAGGTGTGGTGGCGCGTGCCTGTAATCCCAGCTACTTGGAGGCTGAGGCACAAGAAATGCTTGAACCTGGGAGGCGGAGGTTGCAGTGAGCTGAGATTGTGCCACCGCACTGCAGCCTCGGTGACAGAGCAAGACTCTGTCTCAAAAACAAGAAAGGAGAGAGAGAGAGAGAGAAACAGAGGGAGAGAGAGAGAGAGAGAGAGAGAGAAAGGACGTTTTTCACAAAATAAATGAGGGTAAAACATTTTCTTTTCTTTTCTTTTTTTTTTTTTTTTTGAGACAGGGTCTCCTCTGTCACCCAGGCTGGAGTACAGTGGTGCGATCACAGCTTACTGTAGTCTCGACCTCTGGGGCTCAAGCAATCCTTTCACCTCAGCCTTCTGAGCAGCTGGGACTACAGGCATGTGCCACCATACTTGGATAATTTTTGTTGTTGTTGTTTTGTAGAGACAAAGTCTCACTATGTTACCCAGGCTGGTTTTGAACTCCTGGGCTCAAGCAACCCTCCTGCCTCAGCCTCTCAAAGTGCTGGGCCTATCTCCATTTCTTTGAGAGAGGAGGCCAGAGCCCAGACTAAGCTCCTTCCCTCGGAGCAGCCCTGGGATTCTGGCCTGTCTCAGGCACCATGAACTACCACAGTGAACCCGGGAAGGGCTGCTGCTTCCTCTTACAGGCTAGCAGGTGTGGGAGGAGAAGGGCAGGGAGGGAGTTTGTGTTCACTTGTCCTGTGCTGTCCAGGACAGCAGCCCTGGGCCACACACGATGATTGTGCACCTGAACATGGCGAGGCTGAATTGAGTTGTGCTGTGAGTAGACAACACGACACACAACAGATTTTGGAGATTTACCATGGAAAATAGAATGTGACCTATCTCAGTGATTTTTATATGCATTACATGTCAAAATAACCTTTTTTCTTTTTTTTTTTTTTTTTTTTGAGACGGAGTCTCGCTCTGTCGCCCAGGCTGGAGTGCAGTGG